AAGCACACCCACACCCTTAAATTCATCAACATGAGATACTATCTCCCTTTTTCCTGTCCAGGGCAAAAGTTCAGGGTTCCTCCTGATCCCAACATAGAGGCACACATTGCTAAGGCAATAACAGAAACTGGTGACAGGAAGGTGGGGATGATGGGTGAGGATGATGCCTAGAGATTCCTTTCCAAGTCCTCCCCCTCTCCTGGACTGTCTCAAGGCTCCTCGTTGGCATCTCTTAAGGAGAGAAAACCCTCAGGATCCGTGAAGGCCAGATTTCCGCCCCTGATGTTTTATTTCCAAAGTGCTCCGTGGAAAAGCCAAGGGGAGCACAGCCGGGAGAGGGAGAGGGCGCCTCTCGGCTGAACCGGACCCAAGGCAGAGGGCCTTCTCTCCGGCCTGGCGCATGGCTCCCATGGGGGATCGCTGGGCCCTCAACTCCAGTGGGAAAGCCCGCAAAAGGCAGGGAGGTGCTTTTCCAGAGTCTGGCACTGGCAGCAGAAAAAAAAAACACCCACAAAAAACCACCACACCTTGGAAGCAAGGCAGAACCGTCAGGCATTTCTGGAGATTTGTGCCAAGGGGGCGCTCTGGACTCCGCTCGTGTTGCAAGCTCAGGGAATCCACGCGTGACCTCCCACCAAATGATGCGTTGACTGAGAACTCCCGTATATGTTGGAAATATCGGCTTCTCTGAACGGTGCCTCCCGTCACTTGCAAACGGAGTCGCTTTCTTTCCTAGGTTGGTCTTTGGGAAGGGAACACAGGCTTTGCCTACACATCCAGCCAATCCAATGAAGAATTCCTCTCTGGAGTCAGAGGCATTTTAACCTTTGAAGGACGGGTGGCCTATGATGTAGAGTTCAGCTCCGAAGCAACCGCAGTCTTTTCCGGCCACTGTCCGGGGTGGGAGCAATACCCTGGCCTCCTTTCTTCGTTTTCTTCAGCCTTCCTTGACTCAACTGGTGCAGCGCTGGCATTTCTTCCCACCCACAAAGACCCCTCCTGCAAATATCTGTGCCGTTGTGGGGATGACACACACACACACACACACAGAGATGCCCATTCTTTGCCCGCCTGTGCCAAGGAGGCAGGTGTTTCTCTGCAGTGAGTCATTCAGCGGGGACCCTCTCCCGAGCGAGCGAGCGCGCGCGCCAGGCCAGCCTGGGAAGTTCTCCCATCCGGCCCTTTTCTCTCCTTGGCCGGCTTTTGCCCAACGGATTTGGCGCGGCTTCCCGCCAGCTGGAGACCTGCCAAACGCTCCCCGTGCTTCGCTTAAGAACATTGGATGGTATCACTTGCGCTCAGTGGGGATAATCCCCGAGAATTAGATACGGCCCAGAGGGGCTTATTTGGAGAAGGTGGGAAGCAGAAGGCCGCTCCAAGACATCCTGCTGCCTGGGGACAAACAAGTCATTAAAGGTGCACAGCATGGCCTTGCCTAACAGGAGAGCCGGCTTCGACAGTGTGAGACGGTCTTCAGCCATGCAGAAGGCGAAGGGGCTGATCCAGCCCACCTGTGCTTGCTGATCTTTTTAAAATGAACGCCCTGCAAACATTTACAAATTGGCTGAATTTCCTGAACAAGGTCTTAAAAATATATTATGTTTACTGCAACGGTTAGAGAAGTTGTGCGGCTTCCTGGAAGAGCATTTCTGAACAGGAAGGGAGGACTTCTTCCCCAGCCACACAGGCTGGTTCAGGGCAGATGAAAGACACTGGCAGGTGTTGATCAGGGTGGTTGCTGAATGTCTATTGTTTTTATTCATACATGACTGAGTGAGGACTGACTAACTAAACCCTTTATATTTAATCAAGGGCCTCACTAGAGAAAACAGTGATTCCGTGTTTAGACGGAGTGCTCCCTTATGGGGAAAATATGGTCTGTTTAGTCTAATAGGAGCTTGCCTCAGTCCATGCAGTGTTCCTTGTTAGAAACGCTATGAAATCATGGATGGATCTGCTGGGCTTTCTCTTTTTATGAAGCTGACAAAAATGAGTTTGTCGGGGCTGGGCTTTCAGGTACGATCACGTCGAGAAAAATTAGCTTGCTTTTGTTTTGCAGTTGGTCAGTTGGGAGCTAGCCATGCTTTGCTTGTCTGCCTGATGTCTTGGGCATGTAGGACTGGAATATTTCTATGCCGCGAGGATAACGTTGCAAGGGGAAAAAAATCATGCACCTGCATGTACAATCCATCTCTCTCTAGTCTACAGGGTGTTTCTGCGTTTTGAAAAGGGAGACTCGCATTTTATAGCCTCTCTTGCTCCCTGACATGCTAGAGGTGGCACTCGGTAAGCCCACAAATACTCCCCCCCCCTTTGGAGTGTCTCTAAGGCAACACGCAGGCTCTAGGACGGGGGAGAGCGAGTCTCCTCACTGCCAGCGCGTCTCTTTCCCCGTTTCTTGGAGGTTGCAACTCACCAGGTGAGGGAGAGCGATCCCAGGACCTCTTCACTTGCTCGAGCATCCTTACAAGGCATCCGCTGGTGTGTCTGTCGTGTCAGCTACCTCTGCACTTCCGCTTGCTGTTTGTCCCGAAGGCCTCCCCCTGTTTCTGCTCCTTGGTGGCTTTATTCCCTGATGTTCTTTCTGCTCCTCATTTGCAAACAGTTTTGAAACCTTCTAAAGGGTGGAAACAGTCGTTACAAGTGCTCTGGGGCGCATGGACTTTCCAGGTAACGGGTCAATGCCGCAGGTCTTCCTGAAACCCTGAAGCTTTGACATGAACGAACGAACGAGCAATGCTCCCTCTCCTTTGCTTTGTGACACAGAGCCCAGCCCTTCCTCACTTTGGTGCGCGAACCCTGCTGGATCTGCACCTCCTGCTCCAAAAGCCGCCACCATGAAAGCGCTGCTGGTCGCCTTCCTGGTCGAAGCCTGTCTCTCTTCTTTGGTTCCAGGTAAGCGACGTCTCGCAGTGGGTGGACCGGGAAGCTCCCAAGAGGGGGTTTGCTGTGAACCCCGCAGGCGCATGGGCCCCCAATAGGCGACAGCCCAGCTCTGCTCTCCCTGCCGCCAGCTGCAAACCACACCCGCAGCCCAGCCATTGGCCGAGCTGCGAGGGACGCCATGGAATGTTCACCAACAGTCCCTTGCTGGTGAGGGCTGGCGCTAAAACACGGCAAAACCAAGAGGAGGAAGGGGAAGGAGGGTTGCTGGGTTTTGACCCTCTTGATGAAGGCAAATGTTTCCATGCCTCCTGTTTTTAAAAACCCTTGCTGCAAGGAGAAACGAACATCGCCTCAAGCATTTGCCCTTTCGCAAGGCTCAGAAGGCATCCTGCCTCAATCACGTCCACACAAATTGGCAAACCGATCCACACGTGGCAGAAGGGTGCATGCCCCTCGGGGGGCGGGGGGGAGGAAGAATGTCTACCTGAGGTGAGAGCTGGGAAAGGTTCTGTTTTGAACTAGGACTCTGCCCGCACTAACTGGGTGCCCCGGGGAAGAGTAGCTCGACAGCAACCTCCACCCAAACTCTGGAGGGAAGGGGCCCACGCATTGCACCCACGTCTTGCAACTGAACAGGACGCCACAGCGAGAAGGAAACACAACGCAGGGCGGGGAGGAAGGCCACAAAAGGGAGACGGAGAGACTTTTCACACCGCTAGGAATGGTTCGCCAAGGGGTGGGGGTTGGGAGGCGGCCTGGGGTGGCCCTCTTCCTTCTTCTGTTGTTCCCCCTCGTAGAAAAGGAGAAGAACCCCCAGTACTGGAGGCATCAGGCCCAGGAGACGCTGAGGAAGGCCCTGAGCCTGCAGGCGCTCAACACCAACGTGGCCAAGAACATCATCCTCTTCCTTGGCGACGGTGAGCGTCCAGGAAGACCGGGAGGGGTGGGGGAGGCATTTCCTACAGGAGAAAAGTTGGGTGACGCCATCCGGGTGCCAGGGGAACCGCACCCGTTCCGCTTCCCCCTAAAGGCACCCCCCTTTTTTTTAGGGACCACCAACCTGGAAATGATCTCCCTTGGGATTTGGGAGTGGTCCCCCAATGGATGGACCCTCGCTGGCCTTTCTTCCTCAGTGGCTCCTCCAGAAAGAGAGGGGTGGCCTGTCGGGGAGCCCATCCACCCGTTTCCCACCCGCTTAAGGGTCTAAGGGAGGAATGCCTGAGCCTCTGCCAATTTTAGGCAGAGAACTGCCCTGCCTGCCAGTTTCCACCTCCTGCGTGTGGCTTCCTCTGAGGGCGCCTCCTGGCTTGTGCTCCCCCTTCCCCACTTTTTCCACCTTGCGATGGATGATGTTGCAGGAAGGGGCTCCCGGGCAGCGGTTGCCAAGAAAGGCCCGGGAATGTATATGCCCTCCTCCCCCCCCGCTTTTCATTTCCCCGCAGCCTTGAGAGAATGAAAGAGCAAGTTGGAGGGCAGAGGCAGCTGCTTTGTGAGGAAGGACTCTGGGAAAGGGTCAGAACTGGGGAGGGCGTCCAGGGCAGGAGGGGGGAAGAAAGAGGCCAAAGGGAGGGATGGGAAAAAGCCACACGAGGTTCGCATCCCATCGCTCAGATGCTGACCACGCTCTAGCGACGGAGCGACCACAAGGCCCTCCACGTTTCGTGGCCGACCAATCCAACTTGCAGAGTCCCTGTTTGCCTCCGGACGACCAATCACAAAACAAAGCCAGCGGATCGGGTAAAGGCACGGGGAGGGGGGCGTCCCTCTAGGACCGCCCAACGTGTGGCCTCCATCGCGTCAGGGAGGCTCTGTCGCGAACGACGGGATGAGCAGAACCCCAATTCCCACAGCCTGCGTTCTGCTCCCGGCTGCCTGTCCTTTGCTGATCTCAAGGCCGGGCGAAGGGTGGCTGCTCTCACTTTGGCCGTCCAACCCGCCCGCCCCCCCCCAGGCGGGCCTCTGTCTGCAAGAGAGACAGAGACGTGGTGGGTCCCAGGCCACGTGTGGGGCTCGGGGCTCCCTGGGGTGAACGGAACATGGGTTTTTTATCCGCCCCGGCCAGGCCTCTAACCCCGACCCCCCCCTCTCTCCTACCCTCCACCCCTCGTGGCTGCAGGCATGGGTGTCTCCACCGTGACCGCCGCTCGGATCCTGAAAGGGCAGCTGGAGAACCAGAGTGGGGAAGACGCCCTTCTGGAAATGGACCGCTTTCCCTACGTGGCGCTCTCCAAGGTAAGGACCTTTCATTCCCGCCCCCCCCCGCTGCACGTCAAGGAAGCCACGGGACGGCCACGTCCCTCGAAGGCACGTCTTGCAACGTTTTGCACCTCATCTTTCCGTTCCACAGGCTCCCCCAAGAAGCCTCATGCTTCGAGGCCTAATCCCTGTGACAGTTCATCTGGATTGGGTTTTCTGGTGTTTAGCTGCACCTCTCATGCATTTGGGGGTGGGCGGGTTGCAGGGGGGCCTCCTTGCATATATATCAGCCTCTCGGGGAGGAAAACTGGAAAACACCAAGAGTAAGGAGTGGGATGGAGCAAAGGGATCCGAGGTGTCCTTTTGTGCTGCCACATTTCGTTGCAGTTCTACTTGGGGAGCTTTCCTATCAGCGGCCAAGGATTCGGGGAGGGCGAAGGGTCCCTGGCAAAGGAAGAGGTCTAGAAGTGGGGCCGAAGAAGGCAGAGGTGGGGCACCAAGGCAACATCCCTCAGCCAGGGGTGGGGATGCTCCATAAAGAAACTCTGTGTGTGTGTGTGTGTGTGTGTGTGTCTGTGTCCCCAAGTCACACGGCTGCTTCCCTGAACCTCTGAAGGCGGGGCCTGAGAAAGTGACCTCGGGAACCCTCTGAAGGCCACAGGCGAGGTTGCCAAGAGAAACAACCGTCGTACGGGCAGTGCCAGCTGTGTGCAGGTGCGGTCTGACCCTGGGGAAAGCTTCCACCTGGGGCAGTTCCGTGTGGCAATGCAAAACAGAACAGGGCGGTCCTCTGCACATATATTCTCGGAAGCCTCCATATTTCTTATAATTCTCACAAACAAGATCAGGGGGATTCCTCCCACACCCCACCCACCCCACTTCCTTCGCAAGTGTGGAAACCTTTTGTTTAAAGAGATATAAATACAAATCTTTCTAGGATTATCCTGTGACTCAACCTTTCCCAGGCAGGCGCCGTCATCCAAAATGGTTTGGATTACAACTCCCATCATCCAGAGCCAGCATAGTCACACTAGCTGAGCAAACGTTGAAGCCTGTTGTTACCTACCGTTCTTTTCTTTTCTTTTTTTGGTAATGAAGACGTGAGCTCATTCCATTTCAAAAGCAAAATAATCACGCCCACTTTAAAAAGTCCCATTTCAAAAGGAGATGCAATGACTAAAAACACACATGTAAATTTTTTTTTCTGAGTATTTCAAGACTGCCAGAAAACTTCTCCTGATGGGCCTTTTTAGCCCAGCCCCGTTGATTTTTTGGAAGCATCCTGAGTGGAAGGTTTTCAGATGGGGATCTGCTGTTTGTACCATGAATCACCTCCAGCCCTTTTTCTTACCCATTGAAGAGAGTCTTTCTTTCTTTCCTTTTTTAAAAAGATTTTAAAGATTTTTAAGATTTTAAAAAAGCAACACCCCCTCCCCCAAAAAAGCAATCAGTCCTTGAAGAAAAATATAATTAGACACTAAAGCATGTTTGACTTTAGCAGAAACGAGTTATCTTAGGACTGGGTAGTGAGCTGCAGAAAGACGGATGCTTCAAGAGTAATTTCCCACATTTTGGGACCGTACGGATCGCCGTCTGGGATGCACCTGGAGGGTCTCAAAAGAGGAGGGGGGGAAGAAAGATCCGAAAACAGTACCAGAAGAAAGATCCCCTTCTTGTCTGGCTGACCCCACGCTACCCCCCCCCCCCCGAGGCTCCTGGCCAATTCGGGAGACTGGGGGTAGCCAAGCCGGTGGTGCTGTTTGCCTACCAGGCTGTTTCGCCACCTCAGCCAGGTTATTTTTAATTTGCACGGAGCCATTTTTAACTGGGCTGGAGAGGATTAAAGGGACAAACAGTGGATCCCATTTTGCTCCGAACGGCTCCATTCCTCTCTCCTCCTCCCTCCACACCACCCCATCCACCGACATCTTCCTCTTAACAAACTGGCCCCGGCCTGGCCTGCAGAGCGGCCGAGGTGCCAGCTGTTGACTTAAGCTTCGGGAAGGGAAGGTTCACGTGGGCAACGGGAGAGGCCCCGTCGGCTGCTTGTGGCCAGCCTGGTGCCGGCGACCGGGCGGGGAAAGCCCCGGCAGGGGGGGGGGATGCCTATCAGCCAGGGGCCACCCTGAGGGTCACCCTCACGACCCACAATCGATCGATCGGTGCCTCAATCTTCCTCTCGCTTCCTGGTCGACTGGCTTCTCCCCATACGTTCTCCCTACGCTGGGAGAGGGTGAGAACAACCCAGAGACCTCCTTTTGAAAAGTAACTTGTTCCTGATAGTGACCATCTGTGGATCCCCACTCCACCCCTTTTTCTTTCTTTCTTTTTAGATCAAAAAAAGATTCAACCTGAAGCTGTTTCGGCCCCTGCACCCATTCGGGCAGGCAGGGTCATTTGTCATGGCCTGTTTCTGCAGCTACACTCAGAACCTGTTAGGATGAGAAGGTCACAAGTCTCACTGTCTGGTTCATTAGGAGATTAGTTTCCAGAATGGGAGGTGGTGGTGATGGTGGGGGTGAGGAAAAGATCTCTAAGCTCATTTATAGAGGCCTCCAGGGCTGGCTTCCACAAAGGCCTGGCAGCCATTACGGGATAGTTAGGATCTCAAAGAAACAAAGAAAGAAAGCGTAATGGAAGTAGGCCTAGGAGTAGCTGTCTACCTGTCGGTCTAGAAAAGACCCCCCCTCAGGCTCTCTACTTGCTCCTAGCTGGCCTCCCTGGGTTCAATTCACTTGCCCCATGTGCCTGTGTTGAATTCCTGACCCCTTTGTCCCATTTTCTCTGACAGACTTACAACACCAATGCCCAAGTCCCCGACAGTGCCGGAACGGCCACTGCCTACCTATGTGGAGTGAAAGCCAACGAAGGGACCGTCGGGGTCAGCGCTGCGGTGACGAGGTCCCAGTGCAACACAACCGCGGGCAACGAAGTGACCTCCATCCTCAAGTGGGCCAAGGCGGCAGGTGAGCGACCAGAAGGCCCTCTTCGGGGCGCAAGGGGGCGTGCCTGGAAACAGAGGGTGTCCCGTTCCATTACGAGGAGCCGCCTTCCTCCCATCCGCCCGAGGACCAGGAGGGTCTGCTGAATGGCTTTTTTTGGAGAAGGGCTCCCCCCCCCCTTTAAGCCATGGCGCATTTGGCTGGCTGAGCTCTACTGCGGGATCTCAGGGAGGGCTTAGGAAGGCCTAAAGGTTCGGTGCACAGAGGGCTGGATTGGCCTGCTTTGGCCCGTTCCTTGTTTATTGACCGCCTCAAAAGCGGATTGTCAAATATTGGCTTTTGGAAGCTTTGAGCTTAAAAATGCCCCAAAGGCCGGGTGGTGTGGTCAGGGAAAACACGCGGAGGAATGTTGGATTTTGTCTTTTCCCCTCTGCTTCTTTTTTATTTTATGCGATCTCACTTTAAGAGCAGCAGGAAGAAGAGAAGAAAGGGGCTCACTTTCCTTCATCCAGACAGAACTTTCTCCTCCCGCCTCGTCATAGGAGAGGTTAGGGCTGATCCGGTGGAAAGCATTCCCAGGAGAGACAAAGGCAGGCAGAAGGGAGGGCGTTCCTCACACATCATATAAAGTGAGGACCTATGGAACTCCCCTCCACAAGACGGAGCTGTGGCCACTCGAACAACACTTCCCAGCACATGCTTAATCTGTGGACTTCTGGCCTCTTCCTTTCACGGGCATGCTTGGTTTTTTCCTAAACAGCCCAAAACGAAACCGCCCCCAAAAGCCACAATCCTTGGTTCCTCCCTGGGGGAATGTTTTCTTTTAGAGCTGGACAGGAACAGAGAGCAGGGCGAAGGGTGAACTTTAATCACAAATGCATCACCGTTCACTGGACCTGAGTCTCGGTGGACTTGGGACCTGTTTGTGCAGGGCCTGTTGGTGGGGGGGCCTTTCCTGTAGGGTCGCCTCAGGTGTCCTGCCGGCGTGCGTGTGCCTCTGTGGCCAAACCCACGGCTCAGCCCCCCAAGTCCCATCCCTGGGCATCTCTCAAGAGAGGCTGCCAGTCAGAGTAAACCATCAGGAGCCAGGTGGAGAAACTGCACCCTTTCTGTAAAACCTCTCCCCCCTGCCTCCCGTTTGAAACTCCCATTGCGAAACAGTTCTGCAAATAAATGTAATTTTCTGCTCCCGGGAGCCCCCAGCAGTGGTGGTTTTGTAAGGATTCCTGTTGGATTCCTTCCCTTAAGACTCAACCCCCTTCCCTCCCCAAAAAAAAATCAGATCAGTTTTGACTGTGGGTTTAAGAAGAACCAACGTTTTCTTCATTCGCTGGTGGTGCAAATGGCCTCGGAATGGCCAAAATCGCACCCACGTCCCCACTCTGAACTTGGCTGACCCCCAGGTATGGCTTGGCATAAGGTCAGGCGGATATAATAAGGAACACAGACGCCGCTGGGATCTCCCTTCCCCCCAAAGGGCCGCTGAGAGTTAAAACAAGCTTCCAGGCTGTGCCCCTACCGTTCAATTAGGCGAACCCACCACGGGGGCGAGGGGGAGACGGCTGAGGCGACCAGATGCCCCTTGCACTCAAAGAAGCGCTCTCTTTATCATCCCATCACTTCAACGCCTGCCAGAGTCTCAAACTCTGATCCTTCCTGTGTTTTCTTTCCTTTTTTAAAAAACAAACAAACAGATGGAAAATGCCATGAAATAACTTTGCATTTTTTTTAAAGAAGGCATTCTGTCCATGCCGAAGTCCAGTCCAAACTTCTGCATGCAAAGGGAAGCGTATAAAGCCCTCATTAAAAAGCCCCAAGCGAGAGCCGGCTTCATTGTTGTTCTTTCAGAGGTTGGGCTGATTTTCGGCCCGGACATCTGTGGCCATTCTGTACTCTTGTTTTTCCCAAGAGATGGAGGAGACTGAGCAAAAAAATCAGATCAAAGGCCGACATTTCCAGGTGCCCACACTTAGAACATCTTTGCCTACTTTTTGAGGGGGGAGAAAAAAAGGCATTTTATTTAAAGCCATGCCAAAAGACTGAGTCTCTTTCTATGGATGTGTTGAGCCGGGATTAAAAATAAACCTTTCGGTGGGTGTTTTTTTCCCCCCCTCCTCCTTGAAGGACATGCTCCCGGCTCCAGTTACAAAAAAGGGGTTTGTGACTGCACTCCTCCCTCCCCCCCCCCTCTGCCTG